GTGCGGTGCCCAGGCGATCCCCGGCGCCTTTCTGTGCACCCAGACCCGGGCGCTGCCCCACCTAGTTTCGCCTGTGGTGGCTTGCCGAGGAAGGGGGGTTGGCCGATCCGGGGGGCCCCCGAGGCGCCTTCCCGGCCCCTTCTCTGGCCCGGCCCCTTTCGAAACTTGGTGTTCCTGGGACAGGCTGTGTTGACCTGGCAAGGCTTTGGGCACTGGCCAGATGGCCCCAAACCCTCTGCCAGATGTTCTGATCCCTCCCTTGGGAGCGGTGGATCCTGCTCCTGACGCAACCGGGCGGCTGCAACCCTCTGTACCGGTTCGGCCGGCTTGCCGGAACCCGTGGGTGGATCTGAGCGGCTGCGCGCGTGTGCTCGGCTTGCACCTTAATGGCACGGCTGCCGAGCAGGTGGCCTCTTCGCTGGCTTTTTCCGGCAGCGCTTTCTGCCAGATCCTCGCGGCGCCTGGGGACGCTCCTGGCTCTTGCAGTCTTGCGGGGGGATCTGGCCGGAATCAGCTCTGGGAATTGCCTTATGCGAGTCAGATCACCCGGGGGAGCCTTGCTTAAGGGAGCAGAGGAGAGGTGGCAGCGTGCGGTTGGATTGGCGTGACGTAACGGACGGCTGGAGCTTTGGGGCTGCAGAATACGTTCCTTCAGCCATTCGAAGCCACGGCTCTGAACGGCAGGGATGCGGCCCGAGACGGTCCGTCCAGGAAGAGATCACATCCTGGGTGGGGTTCCTGAGAGAACACCCCTCTCGCTTCGGGCCATGTTGGTTAGGCTGGTCCTTTTACACTACCCGGTTGCTTGGAGAGGCGGGCGGCTTTTGGTGCTCTGGGCAGGGTGCCCTTCTTGGCACCGTGCACTCTGGAGCTCTGGTGACCGGGGCTGGCAAATCATCCTGGTGATTCTTGGCTGTTTAACCTGCTGGCAATTCCTTCTGGCCCAGCAAGGCATCCCCCCGGAGGCCCGCTTCCTTCTGAACGGCTGGCGTGTGTCCCTTTCTCTCCCAGATCGTCTTCGCCGAGCAGCCGCTCACAGACAACCACCGGTCATTGGCTTCTTACGGCCTGAAGGACGGAGACGTTGTGATTCTGCAGCAGGTGGAAAATGCGCAGGCACAGCCCCCGGCCCCCTTTCCTGGTAAGAAATCTCTCCCCGCCACCTCTCGGCCTGGCCAGCCCACAGGCCCACGTGCTCTGGTGATTTCTGGCTGTTTAACCTGCTGTCGATAGAGACGACTGTGTGTAGCTCAGGGTTGAACTGTGGAGTCCTTGGGGTTCTCTGAGCTGGGCTCTTTTCTCAGAAATGTTTCGTAACTCGGCTAGGTCACATCTTCGGTGCTAGAAGGGAGTGGGGTTTGCTCGCTGTTTATGTACTGTGGCCTGCCCTGCCAGTGTTGGTGGGGGTGGGCGGTTTGTTTTGTTCTGCTGGTAGTTCCTTGATTAGGGTATTGTTTAACCTGCTGGTTGTAGATACTAATTACTTTGAAAGAGATCTGATCGCTTGTCCGGTCACAGTTAATGACGCTTTGGGAAGGGCTGCAGACCTCCCCCTGCCCTCCCCCGCCGCTTCAGTCAGCTCCCCACGTTTCTCCTCCTGCTGTTAATCCTCGAGGGCTGCTTTTCTCTGAAACTCTGCATAGAGCAGTGGGTTTGCCAGAAACAGCATTCGCGAATTTGGGAGCAGAAGGCAGGGGGTTCAAAGTAACAATAAATCAACGTTTGCCGGGCTCTTCCTCTGCTTCCTCTCTGAGGCTCCTGGATTCCCTGGGTCCTGTCTTGGGCAGGTGGGGTGGGATGGGGTCCCCAGCCCAAGGCTCAGCTGGGCAGTCTCTGGTCTCTTGAGGGAACGGCGAGGGTGGATTACATTTTCCAAACTCTGGAGAGCTGATGTGGCTTCGGAGGAGGGGGAGTGTCCTCTTACCCAGCCCTCCACTTCTCAAACCCAGCGTAGACGGGGGCTCTGGTCTCCGTGTCTCCCCTGTGGGAGCGGCCGCCCTCTTCCACCAGCCAAGGCCCCTGGGGTGAGGCGGATCCAGTGTTATCTCCCCCCCCGCCACTAGGCCTGCCCAGGATAGACTTCAGCAGCATCACCGTGCCCGGGACGTCTGCCCAGCTCTCCCAGTCGCTCCAGCCGCCGCCCCCGGCCCCGGCCCCCTC